GCTTTGGGTCATTCCGAACTACTTTCTTTGAGTAGTATTTTTAAACTAGCGATATCGGACTGTTGGAGAATATTGAATACCTCATATTATTAATGCATTCAGCACTACCATTCCCAAGCTGGTATGAAGTAGGGCAAGAAATGTGTGAAATGTTTTGCACAGTGGGCGGCAGTGCTTCAAATGGTGAAGTCTTAATCATAAAGTTCGGTGGTTCGATCGCAGCTACAGTCAGTGCTTACTGTTGTATCCTTGGGCAAGACACTAAACCCATGATTATTATTACAAAAATGAACTCACCTTATCCCAGAGGTTAAAAGGATAGATCACATAACATATTATCAGTATTTTGGTAAATTTGGTGACTGCTTGCTTGCCATTTGGGTACTTGTTTTTTTTTATTTAGGGTTATACAGTATTTAGAACCTTCTTTTATGTACTTTAGTTTTATTACTTAACCTACTTTCAAATCTTGGTTGTGTTCCTATAGCAAAGGCAGGTTTGTAACAGCATAATATTTATCGTATTTTTCGGACTATAAAGTGCACCAGATTATAAAGCACAATATCAATAATGTTGAATTTTCTCGACTATTTTAATACATTGGACGCACTGGATTATAAGGCGCATTAAGCGAAACAAAGGAACAGCACTTGAGACTGATCCTTTAGCCCAAACATTCACGATCCATCGGCAGATCATGGCATAATTCGCCCGGCGTCACCTTCCTGTCTTGGTGAATGTGTATTATGAATGTGAATGTGGCTGGATAATTTAAGTTTGTTTTTTTATTTCCTAAGAGAAATATACATTGAGTAATAATGTGTTTAATTTGAATTTGTTTTACTTTGGAGAAAAATCCCGCACACCGTCTTACTTGCAAATTGTGAGATTTATTAGGACAACGTTTAGGCACTAGGCCACAATTTGCAAGTAAGACGGTGTGCTGGATTTTTCTCCATGTTTTTGGGCTGCTCCCTCTCCTCCAACACACCCGTCTCAAGTAATTGATGTGCGAAGTTCTCATTCTTTTATACAGAAATGAAACTTAAAACCACATGGATAATTTGCATAAACTATAAGCGTTGAAAAAACTGCTCGCTCCTTGTGCGCTGATGTGGTCAGACTCTGTGGTCAGACTCCGCGAGGCTCCTGACTACGGTAGCCATAATGCTCCGACATCAAGCGGTGCGGCTTCGTAGTTTACCAAAATCGTACTAAAACATTTTGACAGATTTTTGAGCACCATGTAACACATAAAATCGGTTCGAGGTCAGTAAGCACAACCCAAATTAACACATAAGGCGCACTGTCGATTTTTGAGATAATTAAAGGATTTTAAGTGCGCCTTATAGTCTGAAAAATACGGTACTATATTCAAATCATGGACATATGCATCTGTCGGCACCAGGCCTTTGCCAAAACAGTAATGAAGCCAAAGAAGATGCGCAAATATGAAGATCTGTCTGACCTCCTTTACATATTACTAACAACACACATACAAGACACACACACACACACACACGCCCAGTCCTCCTCCACCTCACTGCTCTCCATCAGCCCTGGAGGGAGCGTAGCGGCCCCTACATCTGTCCACCAGGCCCCTGCTCCACAGAACCTGGCTGCCGTATCCACACCACGCATATCACACGAATCATCCTCAATTAATGTGAACCTTCTTTTCCGAGGCGTCCCCCCTGGCTGCGTACTGGCCCCGCTGATTTTTTTTTTTTTTTTTTTTTTACACAGACTACGGTTTTCTTAGCACAGCTGGTTAAGGCTACTCGGCGTTATTGTGTACGCTTTGTGAAAGGAGACAGGGAATCAATACATCAGGGGTAGACGCAGACACCGCTCACATGTTAGAGCTGTGATATAGTTCGTCAAAAAGAGAAAAAAAAAAAAAGGAAAAAAAGGAGCGGGGTGATTTCGTTCCGCGGCGAAACAAGGTCCGAAATGGGTTCCATGTGGCGCCCCGTCTGCACCTCTACTGGGCAGCGGCCAAAGCTCTGTCCTCTTCACTTTTAAAAGATGCAGAGGGACAGATGTAAAATGAAAGAAGGCGGTGGAGGGTCAGAGGGTTCGGATGAATAAGGGGTGACGAGCCCCTTTCAAAATGATAGGGTTTTGAAAGAAATCATAAACAAACTGAGAAAGAACTGCCTGGAAAATGGGATGCTGATGTCTTTTATGAATCTTGCAGTATTGTTGTGGCGTGACCTCTAGAAAACAACCGACATACACTCATGAATTTTTAACCAAAGCTGAAACTTAAATACACACAGCAAAAAAACAATATGTAGGCGAGTTAAAACGACTTAAATTAAGAGTTGTTTTTTTCTTATCTTAAGTGCAACAAGCTGTATTTTCATATTTGAACTACAAAAAGTCTTGGTCCATTGGTCGATAATTTTATTTGTCAAGCGAAATCACCCAAAATTACGCCAATCAGGATAAAACTTTCTAAATTCTAGTGATCTTAACTTGGCTAGATTTTAGTTTTTGTAATGCAGTGAAGAGATGGTGCTGTATGTAAAGTTGGGATGTAACGATATCCAAAACACACGGTACGATATTGTTACGATATGCGTCTGACGGGACGATATTTATTGTGATCTTTTGGAGGAGCGAATAGATGTGTGGGTAGGATTCTTCTTGCTTTTGAAATACCTTGACAAGACTTTGGTGCGAATTATTACCGTCATAATCTCAAGAATTCAAGTAAAAATCATATTTCTTTATGTTGTCTGCGGTGAAATGAATCATGGGATATGTAGTTCTGTGTGTTTTTTAACTGTTGCTTCTATAAAACAAGGCATTTAAGCAAACAAACTTGTGATTCGATGTATTGTGACAGTCCATGATATTATTGTGAGACTTTTGACGATACGATATCGTGATATTTCAGTTATTGTTACATCCCTAATCAATACTATAAGACTTTTCTATCTAAATTACAGGGATGACTTACGACATACAATATTTTTACCTGTCACCTTTGTTAAAACACAACCTTCTCGCTCATTTTATGTGTTCTGACTGTCAAAAATTCTTCATGAAAGGAGATTTGAAGAACTTTATTTAAAGTTGCATTGGAGGGTCTGTCAAATGCTTTTCTCCAGGGAGATTTTATTGATTTGTCTAGAATGTTTTGCATTATGGTCATTAAGCCTTTCTATCTTCATGGGGACCAAACCAGACCAAGTTACAGGTCAGATCTGTGGAGAGGCGACCTCACTCGGAGTCAGGCTAGGTTTATACGATGACGGTCTGAACAGAAGACGCAAAAGTGGCGTCGCGTCTTCACTTTTTATTCCGCGTTTAGACGAGCGTTTTCAGGAGGAAATCTGCGTGCGTACGGTGACGTAAAAGTGTGTGGAATTCGATTGGGTTTGCATGTCAGGCGGCTCGGTGGTGGCGTAAGGTGGCGATGTATGTGACGTAAACATGTACGCGACGTGAGCCGATCTGACCAGAGTTTTGCGTCTTGGGCAGTGTAGACGAAAACGCTACAGTGGAGCGTATTCAACTTTTCCACTCTGGAGGGTGGTTTCAGATTTCTGCATTTTTAAGCCCCAAAAATGCCATCAGCGTCTAAACAAAAGGCACTTCCGATAAAATATTTTGTTGTTTTTATCCACAAGTGTTCTCATGTAAACAGACCCTCAGAAAGCTCGTTTTTCTAGGTGTTTTTGAGCTATAATTTGAGCAATTACATGGCCATAGAAACAAGCAGGTGACGTATCCCCAACCAAAAAGTTACATAGTCCTTTAATAATAATAATAATGATAAATAATATTGCAGCAAATTACATTACCATTGTCCAGAAAACATATTTATTTTAATATCCAGTAGCTTCACATCTATTAACAAAGAATATTTTACCAGCTCCACATTTGAAAACATCCCACAAACCAAACACAACAAGTCAGGTCACATCCTAAAGAACCTGCTCCTTTGATGCACAGATCTTGAATGGAGAATTTCCAAAGATCAGAGAGCAATTTTCAACCTCTATGATACTTACAAATGTCCTCCACCCACGTCTGGACAGGGCCCGCTGATTTCCCCGTGGTCCATCGCAGGGGAGGCAGCAGCTCTGGTTGTTCACACATGACCTCTGACCTGCCACTGCAAAGCCAACGGGGGTGCAGCTGGTGCCTTGGGAGCGCTGCCCTCTGATGTGATGCTCCAGGCGATCGGCTCTGGCTCCGCCCCATCCCCCGTGGCACCCCTCGCCACTAGATCTCCTGCATTATTCATGAGACCAGGCGCTGGAAAACAGAATATGGAAAAGACAGTGCCAAAGGTTCAAGACCTTCTCAGATCACAAGGAACTTCTGCTTAACCTCCCTTGAAGTGGCAAACATAGGGATAGAGGCTTTTTTTTTTTGAGGAATGGGATCTGAAAGCGGGGCCAGAGATCAATGGGGAATCCTCTGAGGCCCGGCGGAGATCGCGTTCGCCGCAAGGTGATTGGCCGATCGATGCGGTTCCCATGGTCGGACCTGCCATCGTGAGTAGTGATCGCCCCCTCCGCAAATGATACGGTCTTGGCCGCGTATATGTAAATGCGGCGCTCCGGGGTCATCCCACACAGGCGGTTGCGCTGTACACGTCGTCATTCCGGACGTTAACATGATGTAGTGTGATGCGATCTGTGACAAAGTCTGGATGAGGGAGCAGAGGCCGGGTCAGAGGTGGCGAGCATTTTTCTTTTTATGGAATTGCGCGTATCACATCGAAGCTTTCAGACCTAGACCATCGCCTGCGTATGATCGGTGATGATTACGGCGCTACGCATTTGTACGCGTTAAACTGCTAATCCCCCCAACACACACACAGAGCGACCTCCTCGGCTCCTCCGGCAGGCTTTTAATAGAGCTTTACACATAACCTGCTAATTGCGTAATTACCTGATTTGTTTGAACTGACAGCGGTGCCCTGGCCCGTGACAAGACCATCATTCGCCCGTCCTCATTGTCAGCAATTTGCAATGTAGATGCCCGGCTCCACGCCCACAGCAGCGGGCCCAGCAGCGGCCGTATTAGAAACCCGATGAATTAAGAATGTTCCGCAATGCCAACGCGATGAATAAATACAACCGAGGCAATGAAGGCAGGCAGATAAAACAAGCTAACAGCAGCGCGCCGTCGTCCAGATAAAGTGGGTACCCCCCTGTCTCCGTGCTGTAATTATTGGCTAATCGGCATTAACCTGGCATAGAGAGGTTTCGCCGGATTGTTTAAAGGACTCTTGGATGCATAATGACAGACTAATATGTCATAGCAATGGGGGAGAGGGGGGAGGCGGTGGATTAATGAGACTTTATTGAAAGGAGTGTACAAGAAGAGGTGGGGCTGCTCTGGAAAATATATAAGCCAAAGAGGGCCACATTAAGCTAATTGTGGATGAGTGCCTACGTGTAAAAGTGCTTCTAATGGCGTATTTATTTCTCTTTCACAATAGCACGGGCTAATGCAGGGAGTGGACCGAGGAGACACAGCGCCACTATGTTTTTTTGTCCAAAAAAGAGTGCGAACAAGCGGGTGTTAATTCGTTTCACTTCTGGGTTTATTTGATTTGCGCGTTTGGTAGAAATGGTCTCGCGTGAGATCGGTTGGAACTGATACGGCGAGCTGGGAGGAAGAGTTTGTGTTGAGAAGATTATGATTAAAATATTCCGAAAATATACTTTGCTGATTTGCTGATTGACCCCATCCAAAATTCAACTGACCGATAAATAAAAGAGTTGAACGCAGGGTGCAGTTCGTAACCCGTAATCCCGCCGGACTTCCTCTGGACTTCGGACTTTAAGGTATTCCAAATCGTATTCGTTTTTTTGTCTTTTACCCTTTATTTGCAAGACGAGAAGTTTAAGTGCGTCTGACTTTTTTTTTTTTATTATTACTTCATTGGGTGGGATAGTACTTGAGTTAAATATTATAATATTTTTACAGTGACAGTTTGAAGAAAACGAAGAAAACAAAAGTTACACAAAGTAGCAGTGAGTTTTAAAACAGAATCTCTAGTCAGTCGAACATTTTTGCACAAAGAAGGCATTTTTCTAACAATTTAAACATTTACTCAACAAAATAAGGTGTTGTACTTTATTTTTATTTGTCTAATCTTATCTATTGTGTAAAGTAGAAAAGACTAGAAAGGGAATTTAAGTAAATACTGTGTTAAATAGTAGCAGATTACTTCTTTATCTAAAATATTTTCGGGTTTCTGATGTTTTTAAAATTTCCTGTAAGAAACTGATCTACAAGACACTCATGTAAGAAGTGAAATTGTTTTGACTTTTCTACTTTTGATGTAGTTAAATTTTTTCTTTAATTGTAATATATTTAGAGATTCACTTTCTAATTTGCTTTTATTTTTTTTGTTTCAATTAAATCAAATGGAAGTACTAATGCCCAGATGGCCCTGCAGTATGAAATAACAGTGGCCAGGCTAGAATTGAAAGTCATACCTCCGGGCTAAACTCCACAGCGCACACAGAATGAAAGTGTAAAATGTTTTTTAATGTATATTTAACAACAAATACCCCAGTGACTATTGATGTTTGGTCTCAGAAGAGTCTATTTCTTCAGTATATCTGAGGGCATCATATGAAACCACTCACACTTTTATTCTGTGTTTTTCTGCAGCTCTTCCTCTGCGCCTGTCTCTCTTTCTCTCTCCCTCTCCCTCTCTTTCTCTCTCCCTCTCTCCCTCTCTCCTTCTCTCTCTCTCTTTAAACATTTATCTTGTGTTTTCTCCTTACAGGCCCTTTGTGCTTTGTGATGTTGGTTTTTACTGCTTTTTACTCACTAGAGCTGCCATTTATCTTTTATCCATGCCAGCGCCAGGAGCACATCTCATGTTAACATTTCATTGACACTAATTGTCACAGCTTGTTTTATTTTCTGTTGTCACTTGCAGCTCATCCCAATGGAATAAGTGCAGCATATGTCTTCCTCACATGCACTCTAGTCCAAAGCCACATATTTGATAATCTATAATGCATTTAAATGCAATATTTTCTATTTATTCATAATCACCAAGCTAGACTTTTCCCACAGCATTGTCCTGTTCATCCTGGGGTGTTTGAGTGCCCATAGATGTGGGACAAAGGAAATGAATGCAGGAAGATGTAGTAATGGTTGTCATTAGTGATTGTATTATGTCTTCTGGCCACACACACTAAATAGCCTCAGGTTCCCTTTGTGATCAGAGGGAGTCCCAACACAAGTTCACTGCATGAAAAAGCACTCATGTCACAGAGCCATAATCCACTGCTGGGAGTGGACACCTGCAGTGTAGCTGCATCTCATTTCCCCGTCACTCTATAATATTATTCACCAAGTCTTTATTCAATGAATAAACAGGAAGTGGTGGTTGGAAAAGCGCGACACTGCATAGACAGGATTTGGACAAACCTCTGTGAGCCGCCTGTCGCTCCAGGGGCCTCTGAATTTCATAAGCTGTAAAGCTTGCCCTCACAAACTAACCCCTGCTCTATGTTCTCTTTTGACCACACTGATTATGCACAATCAATAATGTTTGGTATTTTTGTCTTCTCTTGTCTCTTCTGGGGTCTTTAGGATGCTGCAGGCAAGGTCCTGGACCGCTGGACCATCATGTCTCGAGAAGAGGAGATCATCACCCTGCAGCAGTTCCTGCGCTTTGGTGAGACCAAGTCCATTGTTGAGCTGATGGCCATTCAGGAGAAGGAGGGTCAGGCCGTCACCGTCCCCTCCTCCAAGACTGACTCCGGGATTAGGACATTCATTGAGAGTAACAACAGAACGCGCAGCCCCGGGCTCATCACACAAATGGAAAACAGAAGCCCGTCCAGCATCCATCATTTCGAGAACATCCCCAATAGCCTTGCCTTCCTTCTGCCCTTTCAGTACATCAACCCAGTCTCTGCCCCCATGCTCGGCTTACCTCCCAACGGCCTGCCCATGGAGCAGTCTGCTCTGCGGCTCCGAGAGCCCTCTCTCCCAAACCAGGGCGAGCAGGTGGAGACGAGTGAGTCAGAAGTGTCCTTGTCTCCTTTCCGCACAGGCCAGAGTCCGAGCCGAGGAGGTCTGGGGCCTTTAAACAACATAGAACCCAAGACAGAGCCCAGTAACAGAGCCTCCCCCATCTCCCCCACCCCCTCGCAGCAGTCACAGCTTCAGTCACAGTCCACGCCTCAGCCCCAGTCCGGACAACCGCAGTCCCAGAGTCAGACGCAACAGCCCAGCAGCCTGACTGACCCACAAGTCCATCACCACTTTGCAAAGGAAGAGCAGAATAAAACTATGACTCATCCCTCCTTCTCCTCCAAAATGCACCGCATGCGCCGCATGGGGGCCACCTCACGGAAAGGGCGTGTTTGTTGCAACTCTTGTGGCAAAACCTTCTATGATAAAGGCACTCTTAAAATACATTACAATGCTGTACACTTAAAGATCAAGCACCGCTGTACCATTGAGGGCTGTAACATGGTGTTTAGCTCACTCCGTAGTCGCAATCGTCACAGTGCCAATCCGAACCCACGGTTACATATGCCAATGTTACGCAACAACCGCGATAAAGACCTTATCCGTGCCACCGGTAACTCTGGGACACCTGTCATCTCAAGCACCAAAAACGGAGGCTTTACTCTGACCAGCCCTGGCAGACCCCCTCTGGGCTTCACCACCCCTCCTGTGGACCCCCTGCTCCAGTCCCCTCTCCAGAGTCCTCTGGTGTTCCCCTCTCTGAAGTCAGTGCAGCCGGTACAGCCTGTGCCTCCTTTCTACCGCACACTCCTGTCCCCCGCAGACCTGGTGAGCCCTCCTGTGTCTCTGCCCACCAGCCCCATCCTGCCCACCACCACCAACAGCACCACCCTCATGGACCAGCAGCAGCAGCTCTTGGCCGCAGCAGCTGCAGCTTCACACAATAATGTCCATGTGTCAGAAGCAGGGCCCATGTCACACCGCTTACCCACACCCAGTGCCAACCACGAGGGCACCATGGGCAACAGTGACCCCACACCCAAAAAGAAGCCCCGTAAGTCCAGTATGCCAGTGAAGATCGAGAAGGAAATCATAGACGTGGCCGATGACTATGAGGACAAAGATGAGGACGATGATCACATCCATAACCACCATCACCACTCGTCCTCTATCCTCCACAACAGTCTCAAGATGAATGGAAACTGCCATAACAGCAGCAGCACAGGGAACCACAGTGGAGGCAGCGGGCAGCAGTCCCCCTCTCAGGACGAGATGAGTCCAGGACTGGCTCTTAGAGGCATCATGAGGAGCGATGAAGAGTGTCGGGATGGAGCAGGCAGTGACAGCAGAGGAGACCTCAGGAGCACCGGAGACCTGCGCTGTATGGACAGTTTCACATCAGAGGACCAGGACCATGAGAGAGACTTTGAGAATGAATCTGAAAACTCAGACTCCAAAATGTTCTACCGCGATGAGATGATGGATGTGGAGGATCAGCACAAGCAGCACAGACTGGGGAGGGGTCTGGACAAAGACATGGACGACGAAGATGGACACTTAAAAGAAAATGAAGGCAAGGGCCACTTGTCCCCTTCCCCACATCAGCCTCCCATCAAGATAAAGGAGGAGCTGAGTGACCCCACCTACGACATGTTCTGCATGGGACAGTACGGCCTCTACAATGGAGGCATGGCAGCAGCTGCTGCGGCCGCTGCCAGTATGGCCGCTCTGCACGAGAGCTTCATCTCCTCCATGGGCTACGGTGCCAGCCCACCCAAGTTCCCCACTTCTCAGTCACCAGATGGAGACCCCTGCTCCAGCCCTGACCCCAAGATCTGTTATGTCTGTAAGAAAAGCTTCAAGAGCTCCTATAGCATGAAGCTGCACTACAAGAACGTGCACCTCAAAGAGATGCACGTGTGCACTGTGGCTGGCTGCAATGCTGCTTTCCCCTCTCGACGGAGCCGAGACAGGTCAGTCACACAGTCCCCACTCAACTAATCAGTCTTTACTAATCTCTTTTAGGAGAACATTTTAGGAGTTATACCAACATGTTTAATACGGGAGTAAAAGTAAAGTTCACAAACTACTTTTAAAGTGAGAAAACAGTTTATTACAATATCACAGAAATGTCTGTACTTGTTACCGTCAAAATGCACAAAAGACAGGATCAGAGACATCTGCTGTGTGTCAAGTCAAAGTTGAGCAGTAGGTGTGAGGGGGGAATGTCTCATATTTGCACCCTACATCTGCACAGGGCTGTGCACCTGCCCTCTCTGCATCACCCTGTCACTGACAGGTGAAGCCGCATATATTAGCAGTGGTTTGTCAAACCGCTGCATGTATTAGCACATCAGGAGGTGAGGCCAGAATTGATCACCTGGGCTTGTTAGCACATATCAGTCCCACACTCTGTACAGTGAACTAGAACTACTGCACAGTCACTTAACACTGCTAATGTCTTGGGCTCGCAGAAGATGAACATATCAAAAACACAAAAACACAAGTGAAGAATAGAAGTGCTTTAGAAACAAAAAAAGGAACTAACCTAGAGCACACACAAGTCTCATTTTAAAGCTCATAACCTGTATAATTCGTCACTGAGCTGCAGAGGCTGCACTAGCGTTGTATAATGACTGGCTGCAGGAGCTGGGGTTTAGGTGGAGAGGATTCAGATCAAAGAGCGTCCTTATAGGATTAAACCAACTGGAAATGAGAGACCCGTGTGAGGCTTTCTGCTTTCTGACTGGATAATTGTCTTGAAAGCAAAAACACCAAATTATAACATAAAAAACATGTGCAACGTGTTTGTAATTAAGAATAAATCAGCCTTAAAATTGTTATCAGTAAAAGCTACATTTGATCTGAACATCCTGGGACACAGTTACGTCATGTTTATGGAATTTAAAATCTTACATTTCCTTTATAAGACGTTGCCAAAAAACACAAAAAAACCCTATCCACTCTAATTTTCTCTTAAGACGTGTTTATTATTATCGATTAATGTAAGCTACTTAGGGTTTTTGCTCATTTTGCACTATGAGGAACTGGATCTTATTCACACTTTTTAGAATTAAGAAATCATATATTTATAACGGAACTACCTAATTATATTTCATCAAAGGTACAGGGCAGTTATTTTAGTACGGCCTTGGGCGATGTGAGTATGTTTTAACACCCATCCCCTACAGCAGGGAGGTAAAACTGCATATTTACCGTGTAAGGAGGACTCAGACTCACAGAGCCACTCCAGTAATCACGCACTTATTAGCCTCGTTAATCACATTTTAAGAAGGGGACACCATTTCCTTATTTATCTCATCTTTATCGCAGTTCATTCGTTAACCTAGCTTTAACCTGCTCCCCGTATGTCACCGCGGCAACCCGGGCTCCTCCCTCACTCCCCCGGCGGTCCCGGCAGTCCCACACCGGGCCACTCTAAATGCAGAGAGTGAAGGTTAATTATGTCAGAGAGTGTTTGGGCTCCTCTGCGCGGCTCCCAGGGTCCCCGCGCTGCATGGGGGCCCCCGACTCACCGCTCTCCGCACAATCAGCTGCCTCCGTCGTCTCCTAAACAAAGGGCAGAGTGAATGTGTGAGCAAGAGGTGTGCGCTGGTTAAAGACAAAAGCAATATTAGATCAGTGTGCACAGTGTTTACAAAAGGATCAGTCGGTAAAATTAAAAAAGGGAAACATATATGAACAGTTATCTTAAGCCGCTATTGTTAAGACAATTGTTTATGTTTACTATTGAAAGTACAGAGTTATAATTTAGGGTATTTTCTTATCAGCGCTCCAATAAAAGCTAAAAAAAATAGACATACACTGCCAGTCAAAAGTCTGGACACACCCTCTCATTTAATGTTTTCTTTGCTTTATATTTAGTACTTTCTACATTTTATATACAAAGAGAAGACATCAAACATATGAAGCAAGATAGATGGAAATATGTATAAAGACTCTCTGAGGATTTGAATATAAAGTATGCCAAAAAAAAGTATTTATAGAGTACTTCATGTAGTTGATAGCTTATGTCTTTTCAATGTATATGGTATTGTTTTTAATCACTTTCTGTTACATATTTGTATGAAAAGTGCTTTATAAATATAAGTTTGATTGATTCATTGATTGATGTATATAAAATGTAAAAAGCAGTAAGTAAAAAAAAAGGACATTGAATGAGATGATGTGTCCAAATTTAGTAGTGTATGTTCAAAATGGTGAATAAAGTACAATGCGGAGTACATCTCAGATTTTTCTTTGCAGATTTAAATGTTCAGTTCAATAAAAATGGTTCATATTACTTACTTATATTTCCATCTGTATTTACTTTTAGTTTGGAGCGTAATTATTCCTAATGCATGATCTTGCAGTGAACTGTGCCATAAAACCAAAAAAGACAAATAATAAAAAATAATAAAAAGTTTATTTGAACAATTAACCACTTGAAAAAATATATAAAAATAATACTATTAATAAAAAAATAAAACTGCTCTAATTTCTTTAAGAACTGATAATATTAAAACAACAACTGGGTATTTAAAGCTTAGCACAGTAATGCTTCAGACCCATTAAAGCATCAGAGAGGTAAACTAACAAATTAACCACTTGAAAATACGAATAAAAAAACTAAAACAGATCTTAAACTGCCCTGATTTCTGTGGGAACTGACAATATCAACAACAACAACTGACTCTTTAAAGCCCATTAGTTAGGATAGCACAGTAATGCTCCAGACCCATTACTGGCGTCAGATGGTTAAAAACTAACATGATTCAACCCAGGCAGCAGAGTGACAGAGTTTGATGGATGCTCCTCAGACTCGTGTCCTCCTACTTAAACCCAAAAGCTCCTAACACACTGGAATGACAGAAAGACAAAGAACCCTAGTGCCATTTTAATATACCACTCAGGCCTGCATCTCATTTACACATTATCTGCATCATTTAGACACAACACACACACACACACACATATAGAGCAAGGGCCATCTCTCTCTCTCTCTTTCTCTCACACACACACACACCTAAAGATGATTAACACCAGTCGGGACAGCAGCCTCCTCTGCACAGTCAAAAATGGCCCCCCGCGAGACCCAGCCCACCCCCTCCTTTTTGGGGTGAAGATGAGACTGTCAAATTGCTTTGCCAGGAACATTACTAGCCAACAGGGAGGCGTATAGCGGCAGAGAAACCGGGGTAAATCAGGACTTTGGAGGAGAACGTAAGGGAGAGCCACAGACAAAATGAACTGTTGTAAGAAGTGTGTTATACGTGTGTTTTCTTAGCTAATTACCGCGTAGCGCAGAGTTTAGAAACGTTTGCGACGCAGGGCGATAGTGAAACTGAGATAGCCGCGGTTAACTTAGAGCTTATTAGCAGTGTGAAGGTGTTGTTATATGAAGACATGTTGCAAAGGACCTGCCTACCTGAGCATCTACAACAGCATTCACCAAACGAGCGAATGAGTGGCCCCTTTAAAAAAACGCAGCTACTACTGTCTGTCCTTTTACACCATCTGGATCTGCACGCACACAAATCAGAGCACGGTCCTGTCTGAGCCATATGTTAACACTATATGGACACAACTGTACCATCAAAATATAAAAAAGGGGATTTACGATGTCTTTTTGATCAAGGCTCGTCTATAAAGGTGCTATATTTCCTCCTTTACACAAGCACATCCAGCACATACACAGAGACCGTGACAGCCACAGCCCATCGATTGGCCACGCGCTCCTCTATGCTGACGATGCTCTCGTGGACGGGCTCCTGGTTGCCTGCTTCACAGAAAAGGGTCCCTGATATAAATGTATTTTTACCTCTTGCAGGACATTGTCGGATAGGGAAGTAAATAATTAAAGGAAAGGGACCCTTTTTGACTGCATCAACCCTGCCACTGCTGGTAAGCTCTACTATCCATTGTGCCTCATGTTTGCCCATCCTCCTCAGGATGACCCTTTTCTGTTCTGTTGTTGACTTTTGGTTTTGCTTGAACACATGTTGCCCTCCCTGCATGGAAAACCCTCACATTAAAGGACTGTTTGCTTTTTTGCATTTGGGCTAAAAGTGAGTGGGCCGTGTGCATTCACTGGTGATTATCTGCTTAAGTTTCTTTACTGTGTGACGTGTAACTGGTAGAAGTTACATGGTGAAAATGTTAATGTCAACATGCATCCTTCAGCATGGATGTGTCACTGGCTTAAGTGTTCATTTTGACTATCTATTTTTAATCACATTTTTTTATTTATTTATTTTTTAATTTTCAAAATATTTTAGTCAAGGGGTTCTCAAATTTTGAGGCCAGGTACCCCTTACATAAAATATCCCAAATACTCACTATCATCCTCTGCAATGGCATCGTAATAACATTCAAATGTTCAAGCATGTTTAGAACTTAATTTGGATGAAGATTTATTTCTCATATCCCTTATTTTATTGGAGTAGTTATTTCCATCGAAACATTAAATATTTGTATCTGTTTATCATAAGAAATTGTAGTATTTAAATCATAATAAATTGATGATAAACACATGGCCCACTTTGAGACTAGACCTAAACATTTAATACATACAGTATTATATATTGCAAATGGCCTGTTATAGTCTTAATTTTTAAGCATTATTACTGGTGTATGAAACCATTAAATCAACCAAGTGTTAGTCGTATAAGTTGTATGTCATTTTTGGCCAAATAGGAGACAAAATGAGCACATTCTCTGGCTTAAGTATCCGTACTTTCTGCCTTACTCACTGAACTTAAGCGAAGTACACAGTGTAATACAGTGTACAGGGAAAGTGCCCATTCTGATTACATGCAGAGCCACACATAAAGACAAGTTCATTGAGGTGCCGGATTAAGCAGCCTCCAATAGGGAGCCAATACGATAATGCTGTCAGGGCCTAGTGCTAATATGCTATCCAGTTCCCCTCGATTATCACATTACCACAAGTCCAATCAATTGATAAACTCCCATTCAATATCCCGGAGTATTTAATTGAGTCAGACTTTATTGGATTTGAGGGCTGTGCAGTGCAGACATGCTGACAGAGTAAACAGGGACCCGGTGCTCTGTGCCATGATACTGCACTTATCTGTGTACAGGCTGCTCTGGAACACAGCCACATTTTAACATCGCATTAAAATAACATTAAAAAAAAAGTCTTAACTATAAGAAAAAGTGTATTGCAAGTTTTCATAATTTTGTGTGTTACCTGTAAAAATGAAATTGCATATATTTTAGAATCTTTATAATTAATAGTCCGGATAAACATTTGTGGAATAACAATGTATAATTTATTACTTAAGGATGGGAATATTTAATTGTTAAAAGAGCAAAATGACTTAAAACCTAAAAGTTGCCCTTAGCCATTTAGTTTAAAGGTAACTTTTCTGGGTGCTAGAGTAGGAGATGTTACTCCTGCACCTTGAATGTTCCGCAGTATGGCATTAAACGTGTTATCTATGATTCTTTGTTCAATTACAGGTGTTTTATCAAAAATTAAAAAAGAAAAGAGGCATCACTAACTTGTCTTCTTGAAGATAGATAGATTTAATGCCATTCTGTGGAACATTACATCTCCATGGAGACATACACGCTCCACTACAGAGTCACCTTTAACATTACACAAGTGCATTGTGAGAAAATAAAAGTATTGATACTTGGCAGTGATATTAGACTGGGGGTGTTGTACATGTGTTGTTCAACAGCACAAATCCGCTCACCTGTTCTAGTTCCAGATAAGTCACTTTTTATGGTCAGGTTTTGTTAAAATGAAGTTCAAATTAAAGTCTAACAAGCCTCAGACAGAGCAGAGCCTACAGTTAGCGTCACACCCCATCAGCTGCGAAGTATCAATACATGTACGCCCATTACCATGAACATTCACATCTCGTATTTAGCATTTCTGAACTATCTAACGGATATTTAATGTCTGTGTGTACAAATCATTGACGTTCAGTGCAGTTTGATTGAGGATGGAGTTCCAGCAGACCTTCGAGATGTTTGAGATCTCTAATCGTGTTCTCTGTCCTCTCTCCAGGCACAGCTCCAACATCAACCTGCACCGCAAACTGCTGACCAAAGAGCTGGACGATATAGTCCTGGACCCCCACCTCACGCCTCTGCCCAAGGACCTGCGCGTCGGGATACTGGCCAAGATCTACGCGGGCCACCACCACCACCCCATGGGCCTGGACCCAATGCTGGGGATGGCTGTCGGAGGTCCCCATTCCCCCATGAGCAACGGCTACCCCCACTTCCACAACTTCCACCGCAGCCTCCACCAAAGCCACCACCTCAACCACCACTTCAACGGCTTCTCCGCAGCTCCACCGGACGACTACATGGTTCTGGACCTGAGCGCCACCTCCAGCATCCACTCCAGCAGCAGCATCCACTCCTCGCACGGGTCCGACGAGGGCAGCGACGAGGGCATCCTGCTGGACGACCTGTACGACGGCGAAGGCGAAGAGGAGGAGGAGGAGGAGGTCAACAGCGAGGGGGAGAACGTGGAGAGGCGCGGCCAGACTAGTGACAATGGAGAGACGGGCGGAGGAGGGGGAGCGGGGAACGGCGAGGGGATGGGACAGTTTGTGCATCACTCAACCACCGGGGGCAGTAGCGGTGGCGGCATACTTTGCAATATCTGCCACAAAATGTACAGCAACAAAGGGACCCTGCGCGTGCATTACAAGACGGTGCATTTACGGGAGATGCACAAATGTAAAATCCCTGGGTGTAATATGGTTTTTAGCTCGGTACGCAGCCGTAACCGACACTCGCAAAACCCAAACCTTCATCAGAACGCGCCATTCTCCTCCATCATTGACTGAAGACCGCCCGAGCTCCTCCCACGGTCCTCTTCCATCCTCTTCATCGCATCCGAACTCTCCGCGGTTGCCACAAACAAGCTGGATGCCTCCTGACGATCCAGTGAAGATTTCTAATATGTCTGTATGTAAAAATCACTGACTTCAATGCAGTTTATTATTGTTGACAATTGAAGATGGAGTTCCGACGGACTCCAGAAGTTTTTCTTTTTTTGGTTCCGGAAATATATTTTCTTTCAAGATCGTCCGCTTATTTTCCGTCTGTCGAAGAATCTACTCTTATTTGTGACTTTGCCTGCCGAAAAGATCGTACTGAAAAAAGAAAAAAACTTCTCGTTGTGTATTTGTGTAAGAACTTTTAAAATGATTCCCTTACAAAAGCATGACACTTCATTTGTAAATATAATGTTCCGAAATGAGGCTTTTGGTGTACAAGAGTTGTGTTGATGGTCGTTCGATTCTGTTTCTTCTCTACCTTTTTTATGTTACAGTCCCGTACAATACTTCCAGCTATAGGCAAGAAAGAGGTAGCAACTTATTAGCTTATGTTTATGTTAGCTTCAAAGACACTAGGAAAAAAACTTATCATGTGAATTGTTTTACCTACTTGTTAGATCTTCAGAGGTGGCCGGCATGCTTTTCGAGGCTCCTACACTGATATCATTCTCTGTATTTTTCGATTATTTTTGTCAGTTTATGTTAACAAGCTTTAGTATTTGTTTTTTTTGCACTTTGCATCTATAAGGGGATGTGTAATAATATAAAAATGAGGACTTTTGCAATGGTGACTTTAAGTGTTATGTGGGCTCACTGATGGCTCCTGTGCCAAGACGTAAGATCGTAAACGTTTAAATTCCCCCATTCGCCAAAATCTAATTCGATCGAGACACGTCCTTCGGTGATTTTTTTTTGGTTTTAATATCGTAGCAAAGCGTCTACTACTGTCCCGTAATTTCAATTCCGCATAAAGTCATCACTGACCCACATATATATATAAAAATAATAATTACTTGTGACCAAATGTGAGTGTACTTCAATTAGGCCCCATTGCACTTAAGTCTTAAAAGTATTGCTGTGATATTTAAATTTTAAGTGTTGGCTACTTATGTAAACTTAATGATTGTCTTACGGTACAAATATACAAAAACGGAGCTGAAGTAGCCAAGGGAATGGGTATTTATTGACGGGTGACGTATCTAAGCGGAGATGTTTTGTCCTGGGGTTTGTTTTTTGAAAAAGACAAAAAAACACACGGCTTGGTTTCTATTGTTAAGTATTAGCAACATGTGTTACTACAATTTGACTGGTGCTACGGAGGAAGGCGGGTTTAAAGTGCGTATGGCAGGTTAGAAAAACACAGTGTAGGCCTATTTAAAATTTTAGTAAAAAAAATTTTCTGTTTCTAGTTTTTTGAATCTTCGGAAATGTCTAATTTTACTTGCAGATGTGACATACGTGTATAACTTTACCAAACATCCGTGACGTAAACAAAGATGTCTAACTTGCTCTAATAATTACACTGATAAAATAAATTACAGTTATTTGTTAAATCGTTGTTTAATCTGGAAGAATTTTTTGCTTTTGCGTACTTTTACCTGCATTGTTTGGTTATAATATTTGGTTTTGATGACATAGATAGATAGAGGTATTTCCGTGTATCATTCGTTCATTCATTTTTCAAAATAAAACCAAAAAAACGAACTATTTTCTTCATTATTTGTCTCCAAAACCAAAATGAAAAAACAGATAACGATTCATTTTATTTTTTAATTTTTCCGATTTTGTGTTTAAACGAATAATGGAAAAAACAGATGACGAACGTTTCCCATTTCCGTGACTTAAAGGACGGAGACCGGTTTAGTCCTGGTTCAGTCCCGGTTTAGTCCTAACGTAGTCCTGTTTTGGTCCTGGGTTCAGTCCTGGTTCAGTCCGTATGCGGAGCAAAAGTCCAGCATCGTAGTTTTCGTCACGAAAACAGGAAACAACCACAAAATCTAAAAAACTGAAAAAACAAAACGTTATCTGATTTTTTATTTCGGTTTTGGAGAGAAATAATGAAGAACTCAGTTGTTTTTTCATTTTCTTATTTTTGGCTTTATATTGAAAACCAAATGAACGAATGACACATGGATTAACTCTACTTTTTTGTTTATACTGTCTGTATTTTTTGTACTTTTTCCCAACAAACTCCGCTTTACTTTACTTTAAACCAATTTCAATTTCCGTGAAAACCTGTCATACGCACTTTGAGCAGGGTTGCACAGTATTCACCTCTTATCCATACAAGTATTCTATTAGGCATTTCACAGTACAGACCTGACCTATCCCACCAAAAAAAAAAAAAAAAAAAAAAAACCTTCCGTGTCTTTTTAAAGCCTCGTCTGTGTGACACGTGTAGCTGTTCGGTCTCCTCTTTCAGATATAGCGCGGGAAGCGGGAGGGCCGGCCTGACGGAAGGGGCTGCGGAGGTGGAGGTGGCTGACTGCGGAGGTACGGATGACGGCAACATCATTAAGAAAAGGTGCTCACTTGTCACTTCGCCGCGGTTACTGACGGAGCGGTGACACTGACAGGCGAAGAAGGAGAAGAAGAAGAGAAAGAGAGAAAGAAAGAGCGTTCGTCGTCGCTCTTCAACAATTCAATTTAACTACTCACATCTCGCTTGTAGGTAGCTATTCGGGGTCACTGGTAATTTACTAGCGCTCCCACCACCGGCGCTTTCTATTCGCTTTCTCTTTGTCTGTCAGAGCACTTATCCATTCCTCCCGTCCGCCACTCACTCACTCACTCACTCACTTACCACCTCCGCACCCCACTGCGCAGGTTCTACTGGGACCCGGGGCTAATAGTGTATGCTTAAGTTCACCGGACGGAGTATAGCGTCGGGAAAGAAGGGGATGGGTAATTGCCTGTTTATCCCAAGTGAAGAGAAAATTGAGTACAGGAACCCTCGGCCGTTCCCCGGAGAAGCTTCAGCGAGGCGCGCGCTGTCTCGTTCACTCATTCAATCCCCCCTCGGCCCCCGGCGCCGGTGGAGAGAGGGGGGGGAGAAAAGTGCTACTCTGGGACCCCCGCTGACAGCTGTCTCTCCAACAGACAGCGGAGGAAATACACGATGTTACGCGCGTACACACTTTTAGGTGCAGCGGCGCCGGTTGCGTGGTGACAGGGAGAAGATGACTTGTTAACCTCGAGTCATTTAATCTTCATTTCATTTATTTATTTTAATTAGGACAGTGCGTACTATGTTAACAGCAAGCAGCTTCAACATAAACACGCCAGAGTACATTTCATCTGTAAAATATTAAACTTTCTATCAGACAACACACACATACACACACGCTGTAGGGAAGATTAAAGTAAAAAAAAAAAAAATAGGAATGCAAGCTAGATTTATCGACTTGTATCTGCTTCACATTGACAAGTACAGCATCATGAAGAGGAGAACCCAAAGTCCTTAATACAAAAGCATAAATAATATAAGAAATTAATAGGAAATTAACACCAAAAATTGCAATTAGCTTCTCAGATTTGACACCTGAATCATTCCTGACATATATTTTTTAAGAATTCCAGACAGGAGCTCTGTAACTATAGTGTGAGGGTCAGAGGGCTCGGCATCAGTGCGCTGTCTGATCTGCAGCCTCGAGGTGTTCACTTAACGAACTGCTGGAGAGAGAGAGGGATTCGTCTTGATTGCCCTGTTAGAAAGCCCCCCCCCGCCGCCGCTTACAGTCACAGTTACACTGGGCCCAGGTGCTGACAGTGACCAGCCAATAGGTCGACCAGGACGCGCTTGAGTGAGTTTTTAATAATTGATCAGAGGAACATCAGTGGATCAGTTGTACTCTGCAGAGGGACAGTGACAGTTATCTGAGAGGAGACGCATGAGAGGCTTTAAAGAGCACACGGAGCAGGACGTGGGTCTGTGTGCAGTGGGTGCTTCTGGTAAAGTGTTAAACTGAGAATGGTCCCCCAAATTAGGTGTGAAAACACAAACTCCAAAACCATTTCTAGTCTTAAAGAGTGAACGCCGCACGTTCAGGTGACTTCTTTTGTTTTGATTGTGTTTGTGTGTGTGTAGTGCATCTGTGTGTCTCTGGCTTGATTGTGGCCCGTCCCAGCAGACACACAGTGAGGAGATGGTGATGTGGACTCCTCATGAATACTGTCTGTGAGCTAAACAGCTGTTTCCCATTTGCAGACAGGTGAAATGGTCCTCTTCTCTACAGACTCGTTTTTTTCTTCCCTTTCCACTCTCTTGTGTTTGTTTCTGTATCATAATTGTCTATGGTTTTTGCATAAAATGCATAAGGGTTTTGGGATGTAAATGGAATTTTATTCATATTTTGTCCAAATACCTCTTGTAATTTGTATCAGAATTCTTGTACAATTTTTTATATTAAAGATTTATCAGTCACTGGCATTTTGTCAACTCTGTTTATTTTACTTTTATTACAAAAAAGATGTAATATTTAAAATATGTTTCATAGAGGCGCTGTGCCATAAGAACCCAGACAGCAGGTGTCAATCAAGCCCCAGTAACAAGGGGCCGAGCTTTCAGCGGGTTTTACTGGCCTCTTTAATTGCCTGTGATAGAAATCATGTGGGGAAAGGCTATCTTGACCAATTAGTGGCCGATTAGATTAATAGAGTTATTAAAAGATGTAGAGGAGCGAGAGGACGCTGCTGCAGCAAATTATGGAGACGGCCAAACAAAGGACACTTCAGTCGAGCCGCGGACAGTCCCACACTAAATTAAATTAGCCTCAGTCACTCACACAAGTATGAACCAGAGAAGAGTGTGTGAAATACAGCTATGGCCAGCATAAACACAAACTAAACATAAAGGTGATGAATGTGAGCAGAGCGGGCGGTGTGCAGATGACAGACGCTGACAGCACACAGACAAATGCAGGCTCGTTTAGCCCGTGTGACCCGCGCTGACATCATTTGCTGCGTCCAGAGCTTGAATTACAAATTGATACGAGCTCCAGCAGCGATGTCATGTCTGCT